TATGATTAATTTAATAACAAAAGCAGAATTAATGATCAGATACATATTCACATTAAAAATAAAAAGCTACAAATTATTTTAAACCAGCTGTTACAATGAAAACAATAAAACATCTAATTGATTTCAACAGCATCAGTGCTGACAAATAAAAAATATGACATGACCTCTGACCTTCAGTGTTTGTTCTTGTTTTTAGTGCTTTACAGTCACGTTAAATCATAAGGAAATGAAAGCTGCTGTCTGACCAAAGTTTACATGCTCAGGATCTTCATCTCAGACTCCTCCAGGATGTCGGACACAGAAGGTTTATTTTCTCATGATTGATTCCAGTAAGCTGAGTTATAAATTATCTTTCTTTCCCTGATTTCCCTCAGGAACATTTAATCTGATTTTACAATTAAATCTGATCAAATCAAACGTTTGTTTTATTTTGGGTGTGATTTCTACACCGCCGAGATCAGTGAAGAGCTTTAAAACTTTAACACTACACTCTAAAAAGAGATTTTGAACCATTGTGTATTTCCTGTGAATATTTAAGATTTGATAGTTTTTTTGAAGAAATACAATTTACATAAAAAAGTAAAATTTGAACAAATTATCTTCACCAACTCTAGTAACTGTAGGGATATTTGTATTTTATATAATTTAATTAAATTAATAATTAGTTGATTACACTTTAAATAAAATAAATGGAAATTGTTCCTTCAGACAAATTTCAGCAGTTTTCTTTTTGACACTTTCCTTCAGGTTTATTATTGTTTATTTTTAATGTTGCTCTCAATTAATCTTATCAAACTTATTGTGTTTTTCTATTTTCAGGCAGCTTGATTTCAATTTGTTTCCAAAATGGAAAGGTAAGCGATCAATGCTTTTAACTGTTTTTTCTGCCTGGAAGTCATTAAACTCTGCAGCTAAACAGTTGATGGACTTTAGACCTGAAGATTTGATTGATGATGGACTTTTTCCTGAGTGTACAGTGTAAAATTGATTTACTGGGTTTTGAAAATTCAAATAAAGTTTTAAAAAATATATAGATGAAAACAAACACATTCAGGATTAGGCCCTAAAGTTTTTTTTAAATAACCTTTGCTTTATTTGTATGGTTTTGAGTTTATTTAACTGCTGAAATTTATATAAGCTTTAAGAATAAAATATTAACAGTGTATTTATTCAATCTACAGTAATGTTTTACACATAAGATTTACCTTTTTATTTTTTACTGTTGTTTAATCAGGCAAATCTGTGATACAAAGTGCTGTGAGTATCCTTCTTGGAAAAGAAAGGTGCTATAAAAGTTCAGTCCGATTACCATTTACCATAGCTGAGCTACATTTTAAACATTTTTATGACTGACAAGAAATCAAATGAACTTTGAACAGATAAACGAACAACAACCTTCTTGTTCATCTGAGAGATTTAGTTGGATTTTAGGGGGATTTCCTGACAAACACTTATAAATGATCAGTGAGACCCAACTTTTTTTCTTTTTTTCTGTTAACATTCGTCTTCTGAAAGAGTGGACCCTGGGATGAACAAAAATACCAGATAAGTAGTCGGGTATGTGTGTGTGTGTGTGTGTGTGTGTGTGTGTGTGTGTGT